TGTGATGTTCATTATACAGGTTTGGCAGAAAAAATCTTCCTTCCTGTTCGTTCCTTATCATCCAAATGCAAACCACATTGTTGACGTTACTCTTATTGCTATATGCTGTCAAATGAATTTCATGGGCCATAGTTAGGAACATAGAAAAGAAATGTGTCCCTAAAGTTGGGTCCATGATTTACTTGTGAAAACGTTGTTAAACAATTAAAAGAAACATAAAATATTCAAACAGCAACTGTAAGTTTTACGTCTAGTGTGTATTATCAGGTAATTCCATTCAATAAATGCCATAATCAGGCCATTTGATGATCGTCAGTCAACCTTCCCATCTTAACCTTATAAGTCATGGCGGCTAAAAACTCCGAACAGAGTGATATTCTCAACCAGTTTTATTACTTACGAGAGCTGAAAATGTATTGAAATGTTGTGATATAAATTGATTTGTGTGTGGTACACATTTATGAACCATCAGTGATCAATATTTTCCTTATTTTTTGTGTAATATTCCTTAATTAATTATTTATTTGCGTGATAGGCCCACATTACATACCGTAACCCTATGTATATTTTTTTTTTTTTTTTGCATTTAAATGATCTTTATTTCTTGTGATTGTGTGGTTTACATGTATGAATTTGTTAAGTGACACAGATTCGTCTTTTCAACTTTGGTACATTTGAGATTTTAATTATTATTTACAGTTCCTAGTCCTATCAGGCCTATTTTAAAGTATGACCACCTTGGTGGGATTGGTTTGATTTGAATTGGAAAAAGGAGACTACTTATAACTACTATTTACAACTACAACTAACCTACAACTACTATGTACACCTAACCTACTATATACAAATTGCTTATCAAAGCATGTTCTGATAAATTACATTTTTGTGTAAATTTAGTCTTAATTTCGTTAATTTTGGAATCTATTTTGGCAATGCCTGCCTCTTCATGTAAATTTGTTATTCTAGTGTCGAAAGGACGATCAAGAACCATCCTCAGCACTCTATTCTGAGCGACCTGAATTTTGTTCCTGTGAGTCTGTGCACATGATTCCCACACCGGAGCTGCGTAGAGGATCGCAGGTGCTACGATTTGTTTGTAGACGGCCAGTTTGTTCACCCTTGAGAGGCGGGATCTGCGGCAAATCAGCGGATACAGACTCCTAACCAAGGCGGAACACTTGACTACGGTTTTCTCCACATGCGAGCGGAATAGGAGCTTTTCGTCAAACAACATCCCGAGATAGGTTACTTCGGCGGACCACTCAACCCTTGTGCCATCCATGATTACAGTACAAGAGGGAGCCGGTTTTAGTTTGGGTGATTGCCGATGGAGGAACATGATTGTTTGTGTTTTGGAAGCATTGATTTTGATTTTCCACGTGGTGGCATAATCAGCAAAGGCGTTAAGGCATCGTTGAAGTTTGTTCGTTATTTCGCGAGGCATCCTTCCTTTGACGGCTATTGCGGTATCATCTGCGAACAGGAAAAACACGCAACCGTCTCCAAGGGGAGGAATGTCGGAAGTGTAAATGCTGTAAAGCAAGGGTCCCAGCAGACTGCCTTGCGGGACTCCTGCTGGGATGGAAAACGTATCTGAAAGACAACCATTCAACGATACCTTAAACGACCTTTGCTGGAGGTAGCTACGGGTGATTTTAACCAGATGTAATGGAAAGTTGAAGTTACAAAGCTTGTATACAAGCCCATTGTGCCAGACATTATCAAACGCTTTCTCAACGTCTAACAATGCCATGGCTGTGGACTTGGATACAGCTTTGTTACTTCGGATGTTATTCATCACCCGCACTAGCTGGTGATTGGTGGAGTGCCCCTTTCTGAACCCAAACTGTTCCGGAAGGAGAATGTTATTTTCCTCGACAAACTTGAGCAAACAATTGAGAATGAGTTTCTCGAACAATTTGCTCAGCGCTGAAAGGAGGCTGATTGGTCTGTAGCTTGAAGCTAGCGTTGGGTCCTTCCCGGGTTTGCGGATAGGTATGATTTTCGCTATCTTCCAGATACTTGGAAAGTAGTGCAGTTCCAAGCATCTGTTGAAGACAGCAGCCAGCAGAGAGTGAACCTTCACGCTGAGATTTTTCAACACTAGGTTGAATATTCCGTCAAACCCGGGGGCCTTCATGTTTTTGGTGCATTTCAGCGCTGAGCAAATCTGTTCCACTGTGATTCTATCCTCCGGAGGGATGGCACAAGGGGAGGAATCAAGGTTGAGTACGCATTGCTCAACCTGAACTTCGAGCGGACTTTGGATGTTGGAGCCAAGCAAGTGCGATTTGGCAATATGCTCACCAATCGCATTTGCTTTCTCCTGAGGGGTTATTATGAGCCGATCGTCATCATTTTCATCTTTTAGTGGCGGAATGGGTTTAGGGTGCGTCTTTAAGACCTTGGCAACTTTCCAGAATGGTCTGGAGCGGTCGTCCAGATTCTGGACAAGCCGCCCGAAACTTTCGTTCCGGAGTGAGACCATTCTGGAAGCAATCTCCTTGTTCAGATTGGCCATTTCACGTTTCCTCGCTAGATCTCCAGTCCTCTGAAACTGGCGTCTACGAACATTTCTCAGGCGAATTAAGAGTTGGGTGTGGGAATCAATGGCAATAAACTTACCCCTCACTGGAACTCGTCGGACGCACGCCTCGTCAGCCACGGTTATGGCTTGGTGGAGTACTTCCAACGCTCGGTCGATGTTCTCCACGGAGTCAAGCGGCGGGTTGTCGATGATGTGCCTGTCTACCACGCGTCCAAACTGGGCCCAGTTTAAGCGATGGTAGTCCTTGCGCAGGCTTGGAGCAGCAGCTACGTTGTATCCCAGTTCAGCCACCACCGGTTGATGGTCGGAGCTGAGTTCATTTAAGGCTACCGGCTTGGACAAGCCGGTATTTGAAAGAAACAGGTCTAGCCTCGATGGGTTGCCTGCCGGTGAGATGAATGTTGGCTCGTCCGAGAACCAAACGGAGTACAGCCCATGCTGCGAATGGTCGAACAGCAGACGACCGTTCTGGTTCTGCTGGTAGTTCCGCCATGCCTCATGACGAGCATTCAGATCTCCTCCAACAACGAAGCGGGAACCGGTACGGGTGATGGTGGACAGGTCCTTCTTAAATTTTGCCGCTAGTCCACTGCTGGCGGCACACTGTCGAGGGCAGTAGACGGCGATGAACTGGACGTATCCAGTCGACGACTCCACCTCCACACCAAGGGCCTCGATGATAGAGGTGCGGATATGGGACAGAGTGTGGTATTTTATTCCTTTCTTGACGACGACCGCAACACCACCCCCCCTGGAGCTGGTGCGATCAAGCCGGATAATGTTGTGGTCAGGCAACCAGAAGCTGTCGCCGGACTTTAGATGGGTCTCGGTTAGAAGGCCCACGTCGATGCTGTGCTTGCGGAGGAAGTCGGCAAGCTCAATCTCTTTTGCTCTTACAGAGCAAGCATTCCAGGTGACGATAGTTAGCGGTTTAGACGCCATACTGGATGATGAACTTACCGAGCACCTGGATCTGCTCGGGCTTATTGCGGCACTTACGAAGAGCACCGGACATGTTGACGAAAATTTCCATCAGTTCATCCGCTGAGAACAGATCGGGGTTGTTGTTTTGCGCTGTTGGTTGTCTCCAGAATCCAGGGGGGGATGGAGAGCTTTGGCCAGCAAAATCACCGGAAGCTTCTTGAGGGGGGGCGGGTTGCACCCGCGAATTCGCTTGCCTTTGCTGGGGAGCACGAAGAGGCGGAAAATCCTCCGTCCTGAATGCTGGGGTTTTGTCCTTCTTGCGTCCTGGTTGATTGTTGCTTGACGCCTGCTTTCGGATGCGTTTGAAGTCCTCGCGTTTGGAGCACAGTCTGTCGGAACCTTGATGTGCACCACCACAGTTAGCGCATTTTATCGCCACGGCTCCATCCGCAGGGCAGTTGGAAGTGGCGTGTTCTTGAGCGCAGTTGCTGCAGCGTGGCTTGATGTTGCAGTTGCGGGTACCGTGTCCAAAATTGAGGCACCTCATACACTGCGTTACGTCACGATGGCCGCCACGGTATGGCTCCCACCGTACGATGATGGAGCAGATTGATCGGATGGCTTGTAGCGCATTGAGCGTCACCGTCCCTTTCTGGAAGTGCACCAGGAAAAGACAATCCGGGTACGTCTTCACGTTTTCGTCTCTCCTTGTCATTCGGAAGACAGCGATTGGGGCAAGCTTGTACCGGTTGATTTCAGCTTCGACCATCTTGGGGTCGAAGTTTGGTAGACCCCTGATGACTACCTTGAAGGGCTTCTCACCGGGGATGTCGTGCGTGAAGAATTCCGCCTTGGTATCCTTCAGATATTTCACGGCCACTTCGTACTCCGCTTTTGTTCGGAGCATCACCTTGGTGCCGATCCTGCCGAGCTTAAACTCAGCTGCAACGCCCAGCGATGAAAGATCGCCAATCAGCGTGTTGAGTGGGACTTGCTTCACCACCAGTGGAGGAAGCTTCATTTTTGCTGCACTCGGGGTGGCAGCAGTTTCGTTGTCGACGGCGTCGCCGAAATCACCAATGACGCTGACGTTCGTCGCGGTGGCATCGTCCCGTCCACTCGCACCATCGGACTGGCCTTGATTTTTCTTCCTCTTCTTTGACCGCTTCACCGTGGCTGAGGTGGTATTCCCTACATCGGTGGGAAGAGTAGCGTACCTATTCGAAATAGGTACACTCAAGCTACCCTCACCGCTGTTCTTCTTCTCCGTTTTCTCTCGGAGCCTGCTCCGGGAGCGCTGTCTTCCCATCACACGAAGCGACCGACACTACTGACGACGCGATTAAACTGCGAATGTTTGGAACAAACTAGAAACTTTAGAACAACTCGACAGAGCGAGCAAAGACCGAACTGTACTGCTTGACGTACAAGCAGAGAATGATATGTATATTTTAATGTGTGCACAAATTTATACATACTATCTTACAACTAATAAACCCAAGAGAGACTCTCCACAGTTTCGTTACTGTTAGCCGGCTTCGTATACATGACGAACAAAAACGATGACGATGGGTGCTCGATGATGGTGGGTGCCCAATGACGGTGGGTGCTCGATGACTGCGGGTTCGTCACTCACCGAAACGATCAGATTGCTGTGTACGGTCGAAGTAAGGTAGGTTGACTTCTTACTGCCGTCGATTCGAAGAACATTAAACATCCTCCCCCCGTTGGAAGGTGGATCTTCCAACTATCTGTTCTGGATCGATTGGAAGGAAGGATAGTTTCGAAACAGGTCTTCGCAGGATTCCATTCTTGGTTTTGACGTTGACCACTCTCGTTACTCCATCAGAACCAGGGAACAATTCGATAATTCGACCAAGCAACCATTTTTGCACTGGCAAATTGTCCTTCTTGATTAGCACAAGTTGTCCAATCTTGACTTCAATCCGTGTGTGCCATTTGTACCTTAGTTGTAGTGACGATAGGTACTCTGAACTCCAGCGATCCCAAAAGTGCTGGATGATTTGGGTGATGTGCTCGAAACGCGACCTTGGATGTTTGACTCGAACGCTGACTTCCGGACGGGCGATAGCTGTCAATGGTCTGAAGATCAAAAAGTGACCCGGAGTTAATGGCTCGAAGTCCTCTGGGTCGTCGGATAGCGGTGTGATAGGCCGAGAGTTCAACACCGCTTCGATACGTGCCAATACAGTTGATAGCTCCTCGAAACAAAGGGTTGCGCCTGCTGTGTGTTTCACCAGCAAGGATTTGGTCTGTCGAATGTTCGCCTCCCAGATACCGCCGAAGTGCGGAGCCTCTGAGGGATTGAATCGCCACTCAATTTCGTTACCTGCTCGTCGAATGCCGTCTTGGTTGTCGATACTGTCGAAGAAGGATTTCCATTCGTCTAGTACGTTCGCTGTACCGACGAAGTTTGTACCGTTATCGGTCCAAACGGTTGCTGGTTTGCCTCGCCGACTGACAAACCGATCAAAAGCTGCCATAAATGCTCCGGTGGACAGCTCACTGACGATTTCGAGATGGATGGCCTTTGTCTCGAGACAAATGAAAAGCACAATCCAGCCCTTATGAACGACGGTCGATCGTTTGTTGCGTTGTTTGATCGAGATTGGGCCGCAGAGATCGATGCCAACACGATAGAACGGGTACTCTCCCTCCAAACGACAGACTGGAAGATCGCCCATGTACTGTTGTATTGGGCGTGCGTTGTTCTTGGAGCATCGTATACACTCTCGAATGACCTTCTTGACGGCATTTTTCCCACGAATGATCCAATACTCCCTTCGGATGGCGCACAAAGTGGTTAAAGCGCCTGCGTGCATATTGAGCTTATGCACCGAACGGATGATGGCAGTGGTGAAGGGGTGGCTTGGCGGTAGGATCATCTGGTACTTCTGGTCGAACGAGCAGGTCTTCTTCGCCAGGCGTCCTCCGACCCTGAGGACACCGTTGAGGTCTACGAAGGGAGAGAGCGGTATGAGCGAGCTGTTCTTTATCGTTACCTGTTTCTGCAATTGGGCGAATACTTCCGGAAAGGATTCCAACTGGGCGAGATGAACGAGTGTCAGCATGGCTTGCCGATTCTCCTCGTCGGTGAACTCTCCATAGAGCTTTTCTTCTGGGCTGCGCTTGCGGTTTTGGAACAGCCGCTTGATCAGTGCGATGACTCGAACCATAGTGTTGTAACTGCTGCAGTCGTCGAATAGCTGGAACCTCTCAACCACCACAGGCAACGCAGTGATTGACATCAGCTCGGGAAGATGTTGTTCAGGGACTTGTTCTACGTCCTTTGGCCAGGTGTTTTCGGGATTCTTCACGAACGGTGGACCTTTCCACCAGAGTTTGGCTGTTCTCAGTTCGTCTGGCATGATTCCGCGTGATATCAAATCTGCGGGATTTTCGTGACCACCCACATGAGACCAATTACCAGGTTCAGTGAACTTCAAAATTTTGACGACTCGATTGGAAACGAATACGTCTAGTTTGCTGGGGCAGGTGTTTATCCAGCTGAGTACAATTGTTGAATCACTCCAAAGTCTGACTTGGTTGATTTCAACTGGTAGGGATCGTGATACTTGATGGACTAATTGAGTGAGCAGAACGGCTCCACAAAGTTCTAAGCGCGGAATCGTGGCTCGATTAGCCTTGAGAGGTGCGACGTGCGATTTCGAACACAACAATTTTATTGAAATTTGACCTTCGACATTTCGTGACCTGAGATACAAACAAGCCCCATAGCCCTTATTGGAGGCATCGCTAAAGCCCAATAGTTCGACACAGTTCGTATTCTCGAGAGGAAGCACACAGCGACTGATCCTGGCAGTTTCGATCCTGTGAAGTTGACGTCGATACTCGTTCCATAGCTGTTCTTGTTCTGGATGCAACGCTTCATCCCAGTTTTGCTTCTGTTTCCATAGTTCCTGCAGTACTGGCCCGGCGAGACCAAGCGGATCGAATAATTTCGAAATGTCGGACAGTACCTTCCGCTTTGTGGGAACTCCTTCGCTGAACGCTGATAACGGGATCTCGAAACTAAAGATGTCTTGGTTAACCCAAGTGTTTTTGTACGCCCTTCTTCACTGAACAGCACCTTCTGTTCCAGTTTTTCGGTAGGAAGATCCGCCAATACTTCTTCACGGTTCGAACACCACTTGTGCAAGTCGAATCCGGCCGTTGCCAGCATGCCTTCGAACTGTCTCCTCATCTCCAAAACTTGCTTCACTGTCTCGGCACCAAACAATGCATCGTCGACATACACAGACTTTTTCCCAAATTCTGCAGCTAATGGAAATTTTCCTGCTTCGTCGGCACATATTTGGAACAACGTACGAGTGGCTTGGTAGGGTGCGCAAGCTGTGCCGTACGTCACAGTAGCAAGTTGAAAGATGCAAATTTCATCCTCGGGACTGGATCTCCACAGAATGTACAAGAATCGACGATTTTTCTTCCGAACAAGCATTTGCCGGAACATTTTCGAAACATCTGTTGTTGCGACGACCTTGTGGACTCGAAAACCAAGAAGAATGTCAACTAAATGGGGCTGAAGGGTTGGACCCACTAATAGAAGATCATTTAACGATAATCCATTGCTACTTTTCGCCGACGCATCGAAAACTACTCGAACCTTCGTCGTACTACTTTCCGGTCTTTGAACGGCATGATGTGGGATGAAATAGCACGTTTCCTTTGGAGGCTCGAGAGGATCGAATGTGCTGACCTTTTCCATATGTCCCAAGTCTATGTACTCTTGCATGAACTTTCGGTATTCTGAGTACAAGTGTTGATCCTTCATCAATCTCTTTTCGAGGAGGAGAAATCTTCGATGAGCCATGTGACTAGAATCCCCCAGTTCCGTGTCGATGTCCTTGAATGGCAGAGCGAGAACGTAACGACCAGATTCGTCACGATGATGTGTCGACATGAAGTGATCTTCAGCCTGTTGTTCGTCGGTAGAGTAGATTCGTTCTTGACCATAGCTCTCCAGCTGCCAGAATTTAACGAGTTGTTCGTTTAACTGCTCGTTGGTTACCGGAAGCGCTTGCACGATGGGGTAGTTGTTCCTTTCGGTTACAGGACCTCCAGCAACCCAGCCGAATACGGTTTGACGAAAAGTTGGTTGACCATCCGAAAGTTTGTAGGTGCGACTCAACATCATTTTGTCCCAATCCAAGATGCCAAACAGAATTTCCACCTTGGCCGTATGGTTAAAGAGAGGGTCGGCAAGATCAATCCACTCTGGAATTTTCCAATTGCTTATGCTGAAGGATTGTAGCGGAAGTTTGGTTGTTATGATGGGAGTAACGAGAAATTCAGAGATCGAATTGAAGAAAGATGTTTTCGACCTCACATGTGCAACGACAGATTCTCCAATCTTCCTTCCTGCTCCTCCGAACCCAACAACCGAGACATTTGAAGAGAAGGTTTTGAGACGTAACTTCTGCGCACAGGCCGTAGTCATGAACGTAGACATCGCGCAGGAGTCCAATACTGCTCGACACTGTTGAAGCTCACCATTCCCACCACGAATGTACACGATAGCTGTATGCAACAACGCTTGATCGTTGGATACGAGAAGTTGAACCCTTTTAGACATCGTTTTCGAGCTTGACTCTCCTCTCGGAATATGAAACGCCTCTGGTCCGGGCGCTTCCATCGAGACTGGAGAACTTGGCTGATTGGAGTCGATGATTCTGGTAACACACAATCCGACACGGCTTGGACCAGCCTCAGGTTCAGCTTGTTGTTCGTTGTTGCTACCACAAACCTTCGAATTGCAGTTGTTTTTCGATGCGCTGTTGGAAGGGTTCGATGACTTGGGTTCAAAATGGAGAAGGGTATTGTGGCGTTGTCCACAGTCTTTGCATGAGCTACTTTTGCACTCAGCAACAATATGGCGGTTGCTAAAACAATTGACGCACAAATGAAGTTCTTTGATTCGTTGAAAGCGTTGCGATGCAGACTTGGCCAAGAAAGAACGACACTCGTTGATGTAATGGCTACCCATACAGTGGAAACAACCAAACCTCTTCTTCGAATCATCTTCACTTGAACTGACCAAAACCTTCGGTTGTTGCTTGATGCCGATAGGTTTAATGTTGGGTCGAGACGATGGTTTGTAATCCTGTTCCAAATTTTCCAAAACGCGACAACGATTTTGCAGAAAGTCGACCATTTCCTGCCATTTGACCAGATTTGTACCGACGATTTGGGATTTGAAGTCCTTATGAGTTTGCTTATCAAGACGAGATGCGACGACGTAGACCACCATTGACTCCGAAAGTGAATCGAGATTGAGCTTCAACGACAACAAGGCCCGGAGATTTTTCTGCACGATGTTCACCAGTTCACGAAGAGCAAAAGAGGATTCATTTAGGATGGGCTTCAGCTGGAAGATTTCAGCAAGATGGCGATCGACCAGCCACCGACGATTTTCGTACCGTGACTCGAGAGCCTTCCACAATGATGAGAAGGATTCTTCCGGGGTTTCGATGGCCGCTGCTTCACCAGTAAGACACGATCGAAGATAGTGCAGACGTTGTTGATCGTTGAGGGATTCGTTTCGCCGGACCAGCAGGTTGAACTGACTCCGGAAATAGATCCACTGCTCGTAATGTCCACTGAAATGTGGCAACGTAATTTCCGGAAGTTTGATAGAAGAATCAGGTAAGGGCCTTTGAGAAACACTGGTGTCGAGAGAGGCCTTTGTATCTTGGGGGATCGAAAGGGGTTTCAATTTTTTCGTAATCTGATAATTAATCTCACTTAACAGATCGTAATATTCTTCACCTGCCGTTTCGATAACCGAAACTTCATCGTCCTTGACTAGGCCGTAAAGTTTGGTCTCGGTCTCGAAAAAAGATTCACGCATTTCGTCAAGACCCTGTTTGCGGATTTCAAGTTGCAACAGATCTTCTCCATCCTTGAAAGAGGTCACGAAGGTCAAAATTTTCGAAGCACGTTGTTTCAGCGCTTGAAGCATTCTTTGGAACGACAAAATGGAGGCTTTCCTCTCGGCAGCCATCGTAATCAAGGAACAATTACGACGATGATTGTGTTCGAGTTACAAAGGGCAAGTAAGGGTCACAATGGCGGAAAAGAACGCTACCACGATTCTATTCGATAAATTACACGCGCTTTGCTCTAGCTCAACGATCCACCTACCATGTATTCCTCTATCGAAACTGGTGCCAGATGAACAATCAGCAATCCACTTCAACCAGACAATCCGGTTCGAAGGACCGTTTTATGTACGAGACGTCGACACCGTCCGGCTCCTCGAGTTAGTGGAGCCTCGTGTTACCGGCTTTCTCTGGCTAAGCGGACAATTAAACTGGACTGAACTCATGGACGTATTTATGGAAACTGATAGGGTATACGTCCCTAACCTCGGTCTAATATGCAGCCATCGATTACGTTTTTAATCATAACTCATCAATTAATTTACCTGCAGACGATATTCTACTGCTAAATGGTATGCTTAGATATGCTTATTATGTCGTTTGCTACCAGAAACCACGAAAAGTTGAAAAACTTACTTTTTTTGAGACAATAACTCACCAGGGAAATGTATGTAATATGGGTCTATTGTCCCCAAATTGGGTCTATTTATGGATGCAACTTCGTCCTATCTTGTTTGATCCTCAAAAAAACGCTCTTGGTAACGTTTTCTGATGTATATTTTTTTATCACTATCACTGTTAACTTAATGCTCTTCATTCCTCAAAACATTTCACAGAGAAAATTTTACGAAAACTACATTAAATCACTCAAATTAAAAATTAAAAATTAAAAATTTCGCTTATCGTCTTTCGACCGCAGAATAGCGAAATCAAAACATTGTGATGTTCATTATACAGGTTTGGCAGAAAAAATCTTCCTTCCTGTTCGTTCCTTATCATCCAAATGCAAACCACATTGTTGACGTTACTCTTATTGCTATATGCTGTCAAATGAATTTCATGGGCCATAGTTAGGAACATAGAAAAGAAATGTGTCCCTAAAGTTGGGTCCATGATTTACTTGTGAAAACGTTGTTAAACAATTAAAAGAAACATAAAATATTCAAACAGCAACTGTAAGTTTTACGTCTAGTGTGTATTATCAGGTAATTCCATTCAATAAATGCCATAATCAGGCCATTTGATGATCGTCAGTCAACCTTCCCATCTTAACCTTATAAGTCATGGCGGCTAAAAACTCCGAACAGAGTGATATTCTCAACCAGTTTTATTACTTACGAGAGCTGAAAATGTATTGAAATGTTGTGATATAAATTGATTTGTGTGTGGTACACATTTATGAACCATCAGTGATCAATATTTTCCTTATTTTTTGTGTAATATTCCTTAATTAATTATTTATTTGCGTGATAGGCCCACATTACATACCGTAACCCTATGTATATTTTTTTTTTTTTTTTGCATTTAAATGATCTTTATTTCTTGTGATTGTGTGGTTTACATGTATGAATTTGTTAAGTGACACAGATTCGTCTTTTCAACTTTGGTACATTTGAGATTTTAATTATTATTTACAGTTCCTAGTCCTATCAGGCCTATTTTAAAGTATGACCACCTTGGTGGGATTGGTTTGATTTGAATTGGAAAAAGGAGACTACTTATAACTACTATTTACAACTACAACTAACCTACAACTACTATGTACACCTAACCTACTATATACAAATTGCTTATCAAAGCATGTTCTGATAAATTACATTTTTGTGTAAATTTAGTCTTAATTTCGTTAATTTTGGAATCTATTTTGGCAATGCCTGCCTCTTCATGTAAATTTGTTATTCTAGTGTCGAAAGGACGATCAAGAACCATCCTCAGCACTCTATTCTGAGCGACCTGAATTTTGTTCCTGTGAGTCTGTGCACATGATTCCCACACCGGAGCTGCGTAGAGGATCGCAGGTGCTACGATTTGTTTGTAGACGGCCAGTTTGTTCACCCTTGAGAGGCGGGATCTGCGGCAAATCAGCGGATACAGACTCCTAACCAAGGCGGAACACTTGACTACGGTTTTCTCCACATGCGAGCGGAATAGGAGCTTTTCGTCAAACAACATCCCGAGATAGGTTACTTCGGCGGACCACTCAACCCTTGTGCCATCCATGATTACAGTACAAGAGGGAGCCGGTTTTAGTTTGGGTGATTGCCGATGGAGGAACATGATTGTTTGTGTTTTGGAAGCATTGATTTTGATTTTCCACGTGGTGGCATAATCAGCAAAGGCGTTAAGGCATCGTTGAAGTTTGTTCGTTATTTCGCGAGGCATCCTTCCTTTGACGGCTATTGCGGTATCATCTGCGAACAGGAAAAACACGCAACCGTCTCCAAGGGGAGGAATGTCGGAAGTGTAAATGCTGTAAAGCAAGGGTCCCAGCAGACTGCCTTGCGGGACTCCTGCTGGGATGGAAAACGTATCTGAAAGACAACCATTCAACGATACCTTAAACGACCTTTGCTGGAGGTAGCTACGGGTGATTTTAACCAGATGTAATGGAAAGTTGAAGTTACAAAGCTTGTATACAAGCCCATTGTGCCAGACATTATCAAACGCTTTCTCAACGTCTAACAATGCCATGGCTGTGGACTTGGATACAGCTTTGTTACTTCGGATGTTATTCATCACCCGCACTAGCTGGTGATTGGTGGAGTGCCCCTTTCTGAACCCAAACTGTTCCGGAAGGAGAATGTTATTTTCCTCGACAAACTTGAGCAAACAATTGAGAATGAGTTTCTCGAACAATTTGCTCAGCGCTGAAAGGAGGCTGATTGGTCTGTAGCTTGAAGCTAGCGTTGGGTCCTTCCCGGGTTTGCGGATAGGTATGATTTTCGCTATCTTCCAGATACTTGGAAAGTAGTGCAGTTCCAAGCATCTGTTGAAGACAGCAGCCAGCAGAGAGTGAACCTTCACGCTGAGATTTTTCAACACTAGGTTGAATATTCCGTCAAACCCGGGGGCCTTCATGTTTTTGGTGCATTTCAGCGCTGAGCAAATCTGTTCCACTGTGATTCTATCCTCCGGAGGGATGGCACAAGGGGAGGAATCAAGGTTGAGTACGCATTGCTCAACCTGAACTTCGAGCGGACTTTGGATGTTGGAGCCAAGCAAGTGCGATTTGGCAATATGCTCACCAATCGCATTTGCTTTCTCCTGAGGGGTTATTATGAGCCGATCGTCATCATTTTCATCTTTTAGTGGCGGAATGGGTTTAGGGTGCGTCTTTAAGACCTTGGCAACTTTCCAGAATGGTCTGGAGCGGTCGTCCAGATTCTGGACAAGCCGCCCGAAACTTTCGTTCCGGAGTGAGACCATTCTGGAAGCAATCTCCTTGTTCAGATTGGCCATTTCACGTTTCCTCGCTAGATCTCCAGTCCTCTGAAACTGGCGTCTACGAACATTTCTCAGGCGAATTAAGAGTTGGGTGTGGGAATCAATGGCAATAAACTTACCCCTCACTGGAACTCGTCGGACGCACGCCTCGTCAGCCACGGTTATGGCTTGGTGGAGTACTTCCAACGCTCGGTCGATGTTCTCCACGGAGTCAAGCGGCGGGTTGTCGATGATGTGCCTGTCTACCACGCGTCCAAACTGGGCCCAGTTTAAGCGATGGTAGTCCTTGCGCAGGCTTGGAGCAGCAGCTACGTTGTATCCCAGTTCAGCCACCACCGGTTGATGGTCGGAGCTGAGTTCATTTAAGGCTACCGGCTTGGACAAGCCGGTATTTGAAAGAAACAGGTCTAGCCTCGATGGGTTGCCTGCCGGTGAGATGAATGTTGGCTCGTCCGAGAACCAAACGGAGTACAGCCCATGCTGCGAATGGTCGAACAGCAGACGACCGTTCTGGTTCTGCTGGTAGTTCCGCCATGCCTCATGACGAGCATTCAGATCTCCTCCAACAACGAAGCGGGAACCGGTACGGGTGATGGTGGACAGGTCCTTCTTAAATTTTGCCGCTAGTCCACTGCTGGCGGCACACTGTCGAGGGCAGTAGACGGCGATGAACTGGACGTATCCAGTCGACGACTCCACCTCCACACCAAGGGCCTCGATGATAGAGGTGCGGATATGGGACAGAGTGTGGTATTTTATTCCTTTCTTGACGACGACCGCAACACCACCCCCCCTGGAGCTGGTGCGATCAAGCCGGATAATGTTGTGGTCAGGCAACCAGAAGCTGTCGCCGGACTTTAGATGGGTCTCGGTTAGAAGGCCCACGTCGATGCTGTGCTTGCGGAGGAAGTCGGCAAGCTCAATCTCTTTTGCTCTTACAGAGCAAGCATTCCAGGTGACGATAGTTAGCGGTTTAGACGCCATACTGGATGATGAACTTACCGAGCACCTGGATCTGCTCGGGCTTATTGCGGCACTTACGAAGAGCACCGGACATGTTGACGAAAATTTCCATCAGTTCATCCGCTGAGAACAGATCGGGGTTGTTGTTTTGCGCTGTTGGTTGTCTCCAGAATCCAGGGGGGGATGGAGAGCTTTGGCCAGCAAAATCACCGGAAGCTTCTTGAGGGGGGGCGGGTTGCACCCGCGAATTCGCTTGCCTTTGCTGGGGAGCACGAAGAGGCGGAAAATCCTCCGTCCTGAATGCTGGGGTTTTGTCCTTCTTGCGTCCTGGTTGATTGTTGCTTGACGCCTGCTTTCGGATGCGTTTGAAGTCCTCGCGTTTGGAGCACAGTCTGTCGGAACCTTGATGTGCACCACCACAGTTAGCGCATTTTATCGCCACGGCTCCATCCGCAGGGCAGTTGGAAGTGGCGTGTTCTTGAGCGCAGTTGCTGCAGCGTGGCTTGATGTTGCAGTTGCGGGTACCGTGTCCAAAATTGAGGCACCTCATACACTGCGTTACGTCACGATGGCCGCCACGGTATGGCTCCCACCGTACGATGATGGAGCAGATTGATCGGATGGCTTGTAGCGCATTGAGCGTCACCGTCCCTTTCTGGAAGTGCACCAGGAA